TAATGCCCTCCAAGCTTTCATTTCCTGACGTGTAAAATGACTACATATTCTTTAAATATTCCTTTGGAGTTTGTTCCAAAGAGGTTCATAGTATCAGAGAACAGAAGAGTTAAAAGGAACCTTACCGATTCCTTCATTTTACAGATAAGCAAATAGGTCAAGAGAGGTTCAGTTACTTGTCTAAGGTCATACAGGTAAAAGTTAGTAAGTGGAGGTTATTAAATGGCAAAGCCAGATGTTGAACCTAGAAGCTTCTAATTCTAAACCCTGTTTTTTAAAGTCCCCTTTTTCATTACATCATGCCTGACCTCAACAAAGCTATTCCTATGCAAGTAACTAAATGCCTTAACATCAGTTCTTTCATACAGTAAGATATGCTAAAAATTTTTCTAAGTTAAATAAAATTGTTCATACTTATAGACTTGGATATCTTAAGATTTTAGAATTACACAATTCATTGGGTTGAATTGGGGCTGGACATATATAGACACAAAAAGAGGTTTTCGCAAATATAAGTCATAATTGGAAAGAGAAAATAAAGAATAAGGAAGGAGTAGAGAGGACTACTCCCTCCTCACTTTTAAGTTCTAACAATGAGTTGGCATAGTGGATAGAGTGCAGGGCCTGGAGTCAGTTAGACTCATCTTCTTGAGTTCAAATCTGGCCTCCAAGACTTACTAGCTGTGTGACCCTGGGCAAGTCACTTAATCCTGTTTGCCTCAGTTTCATCTGTAAAAGGAGCTGGAGAAGGAAACAGCAAACCACTCCAGGATCTTTGCCAAGAAAATCCCAAAAGGGGTCACAAAAAGTTGGACAAGACTGAAAAAATGACTTAACAATAACAAAGAGAGGATTACATTTAATAAAATCTATGCTTTTTCAAACGAAAATCAATATACTTGTATCACAGAAGCTTGGTGTCACCAGCAAAAAATTTATGAAACTACACTTCAAAATGTATTTAGAGTATTTTATTTGGAGCCAGAGAACTTGAGTTCACATCCTAACTCTGCCACTAACTACCTGTATCACTTTGGATAAGTTAGTTCACTTCTCTGGGACATTCCTGTAAAATGAAGTGATTGGACTAGATCAGTGGTGCCAAACTCAAAAGAAATAGATCCCTACTGACCATATGCTGACTGAGAATGCTGTATTGCCCTTTTAAATTTTTTTTGTTAAACATTTCCCAATTACATTTTAATATGGTTTGAGCTTCCTGAGTTTCAACACCTGAACTAGATGACCTGTCAAGGTCCCATCCAAATCCAAATTCATAAATTCTATGTTCAACTTCATGTGAATAGAACTCTATGTGAAACTCTAGGCTTAGTGAAAAATTCAGCAAATTCTAAACTAATCAACATGAATTTCTTCTGTGCCACATTTACTAAGGATGTATGTACTAAAATCACACCCTAATTCCAAGCTTACTTCCATTGGGGAAAACAATATGCACACACATATTGGGAAAAACATTATGTATATACATAAAAATAAAATGTAAAGTAAATACAAGGTAATAGCAACAAGATCACGGAAATCAAGAAAGCTGTCAAGTAGAAGGTAGGGTTTGGGCTGAACTTTGAAGCAGTTCTTTCCCTTAGTCAACCACCTGAATCCCATTTGTTTGATGAAGTCCTGCTGATTTTAAAATCTGAGGATATTTAGACCAGTAATTAGTTAAGAAGAACCTTCTAAGATTTACAGATTGTTAGAGCTGGAAAGTTAACTTAGAAATCATCTAGGTTAATTCACTCTCAATTTACAAATGAGGAAACTAAGGTTAAGTAATTTGTCTTAAGTTCAGACAGCTAGTAAGTAGCAGGGCCAAAGAGCTAAAAAAAAAATCAAGACTTTAGTGAGAGAGACAAGTATTCTCCTTGCACTAAAGGAATGTAAATTTACTAATCCATATCCCCTCCTTTTTAATAATTTGGGCCTTGCCAAACAAAGCAATGTTAAAATACTGACGGCACAACCAAGATTTTTAAAACACAAATACACTTACTGATAAATGGACATATAATAGATTTAGTTCAAATTGTTTTAAAGTTTTTGGTTTCAGATAGCTCCTCAAACAAAACTTCTTTTAGTTATTATTAGATCAAAATTCTTCACTATAACTTCCTTCCATTCCTAATTTCTGGGAAGGCCGAGTTCATGGCCAGACTTTTTTTTCTTTCAAGTTTGTTGTAAATGCTCCACCCGCCTGGATGGTGCAAGAGCCAAACCCTGAATAACAGAGTAAAGAGGCATAGACCTAGAAAAATATGATGGGTCATTTCCCTTGGCCCTATTAAATTTCAGAGACTGGGGCCTAACCCTACAGCCCCCTCTGATCAAGGCAACGTTAAACAAACCATCATCGCGTGCAGGTCTGTCACATCAGAGCCCAAAGAGACAGATAAGAGAGAACTAGGCAAAGCCGCCGCCATCTTAAAATGCGGGACAGAAGTTAGACTAAGAAAAATCCTCAACCACCCCAGCTGAGGCTTCCTCCATCCCTTCCCCTTCGGAAAACCTGAGATTTCTTGGCAACCTGGATCAGTAATTTACTCTTCATTCCCGCATCAACTGGAAAAACCACACTCTCGCAGGAAAAATGGGGGTGGGCAAGGCTGGGACTACCGCGGCCCCCCCACCCCCAGCCAGACCCGGACCGCACCGCTGGGGAAATCGACCACATTGTGTCAGCGTCTCCCAGCGACCCCGGCCAGGGGTCGGGGGAGCCCCCCAGCGGGGCGCACACACGACCACCTTTCCCGGGGCCCCGAGGAAGATCGCGGTGACTCACTGGGCGCCTCCTCCCCACAACCTCAAGCCCGGGGGGGGCAGGCCGTGGTTACTGGGGCACAGTCGGGGTGTGGAGCGGTCGGGCGCCCCCCAAGGTCACACAGGCGCATCTCTCTGCCCCCGGAGGGCCCGGGCCCGGCTTCCACACTACGACGCAGCTCCGTGCGGCGCTTCCTGGGCTGCTCAAAGTGGGGGAGGGGATCCCCTGGAAAGTCAGCCGCTCCGGCCCCGCTTCCGAGAAGGGATCCCCAGGCGGGGACGGACGCCCAGCCCGAGGGGTTCCAGGTGGCCCCTAAGAACCTGGGTTCTTCGGGCCCATCGCCAGCACGGCCCCCGCCCTCCAGCCGCGGCTGTTATTTACCTTATTAATCCGTTTCAGCGCCATGGTGTGTGCTTCTTTCCGCCTGACTCCGCTCTCTCTCGGTGGGCAGAAGGGTCCGGCCAAAAACTCTGATTATCCCGGGCGGCGGGGAGGGGTTCGGGGGAGGGGATCTCTCTTCTCACACCGGCTCCGCCCGACACAGGCGCCTTGTGCAAAAACGGACCAGATCAGCACTCGCCCCGGCCCAGGGACGCCTGCCCCCCAAACCGTCACGATCCGGGGTCCGGGGGAGGCCGCGAAGCCGTCCTCCAGCCCCGAGGGCAGCGTCGCCAGGAGAGGCCACGAGTCCGACCTCCCAGGAGCGGAGAGGGGGCTGGGTCCGGGGTCGGGGTCGGCTCCGGGGAGGAGCCGAGGCCTAGGCCGCGCCGGCGTCACCGGAGCCGAAGGAGGCGGGGGGGGAGGGGACAGCCGGACAGCCCCGGGGGCCTGGACCCGCTCGTCTCTGCTCCCAGGATAAGTGGCCGCGGAGGGCGAGAAGCCAAGGGGTGCGAGGAGGCTCAGAAGGGGCTAGGGCTGTGGCTATCCGTGCCGCCCCGGACACCGCAGCACTCTCCGCCTTCCAGGCGCGTGCACGCGCGCTCCCGCCCCGCTGCTGCCTCCGCCGCCGCCACCTCCACCATCACCACTACGCGCCCGCGCCGCCTCGGGCCCCGGCGCGCGCAGCGCCCCCCGCCCCCGCCCCCCGGCCTCCCGCGCGAACGGGCCGGGCTGCCCCGTCCTCCCCACCCCTCCTCTGCCCACCCCACCCAACTGGCTGGCCGCTGAAAGCCACCCGACCTCCCCGCTCCCCGCTTACCCGGCCAGCCCAAGTCAGCCGGCCTCCCCTTCCCCTAGTCATCCACACCCACGCGTACAGAGGAGCCGGGGCCTCCCTCAAGCTGCGGCCTCGGCCTCCTCCCCGCGCGGCAGCTGGTGCCTCCCCGGCCCTACGGGGCTCACGCGCACGACACAGCCACAAGATGTCCGCTCTGACGGAACTACTGCCAGCTGCCACGCTCCGCCCCTCCCCCGCCGGGCCCCTTCACCGCCGCCGCGTATCAGTCCGCCAACGCCGCCGTCGCGAGGACTGGACGAAGACGAGAAGGGCGGAGGGGAACGGTTCACTTCCTATTCCTCCTAGGCTGGGGGCCACAGTTAGGGGTGCTCTCCCTTCTTCTACCTCAAAAGGTGGAATCCTTACTAAACGGATCGGAGGTTGGGCAGAGAGGGTGGGGGCCGGAGGCGGGTCATGAGCCGAAGTGGGAGGAGAGCAAGCTGGAGGCGGGGAAACTCAGGCTGAGAGAAGCATCGAGAACCGGAAGGAGACCATGGTGGGGAGGTGGTGAAGGCGGCAGCGGCGGGGTCCCTACGCCCCTTCTCGTTTGGTGGGGGGGGGAACCGAATCTCGCGAGAATCCTGTTGTTGGCTGGTAGTCCTGGAGGCTTGGCGGGGAGAGGTTAGGGGTTGTTTTCGTGATGGATACCCTTGGTTTTTCACCTAACCCCCCCCCACTGCCCCGTCCCTAACTCTCGCGAGAGTTTAGTGGAGTAACTAGGATGAACCCCGTGCCGGGAACTAGCCGGAAGGATTACGCAGACGGCCTAGAGAGGAAATGGAATTCCCCGGGGCGCGTGCACATCTCTGGGTGATGTTGAGCCCTGCTCCCATGCGTCCAATCAGAGAGGGGCGGAGGGAGGGGCCGCAGCGTGATAGGACGTTGCGCAATTAGACGGCACCTTCCTCGCAGGTACCCAGGCCGAGGGCTGCTGCCTTTGACAATTCGGGAGGCCAGCGTTGCGGGGCCTCCGGTTATTTTGAGCAGCCGGGAGCGAGATGCACCTAATTAACAGATCCCTTCAGGATGCCTGAGGAAGAGCTCTTGGGTCGGTTGCCTCGGGATCCCCGGGTCACCTCGGGGCAGGCCGCCTGAATGTCGACCAGGGCCCGGGCCAAGGTTAAACGTAGGGTTCGACGCCCTGAAAATGACTGTTCCTCGCCTTTCCATTTAAATGCAGAGGGTTGGAGAGAGCGAAACCCAGCAAAGTAACTTAGGAAGCATTTTGGTAATCGTGTTGATCAAAATACTAAAGTATGATAGGGAATCATTTCCTGGTTGTCTCGGCTCAGTGTTAACTGCCCTTCTAAAGTAGGGGGAGGTCGTTTTGCTCTAAGTTGTAACTTAAAGACATAGTTAGGGAACCCCAATCTCCTAGACCTGGGAGAAAGCGGTCTTATAGCTTTTGAATGGCAAAGGAACTTTGAGGCTGATGGGCAAGTTGACTGATACCCTGGTTCTGTAAGTATTTTTTTGAAATAAAGTCTTCTCTCCATCCCTAATTTTTAAGGTTTTATACTTGGAAGGGATTTTGAATTTAAGAACTTTACAGTAAGGAAGCCTTAGCACTTCCCTGCAACAAAAAATATATTAGTTGCCTACCGTAATACGTATGGGATACTGTGCTGGGACTGGAGATAAGAAAAACAGTCCCCTACCCATAAGGAAATATTAGAAGGATGTACTTAAAGACTTTAAAAGAAAGTTAGACAAGTTCCTCAATGTAAAAGTTATTTTTAAACAATTTCAAAAGACAGACCCCGAAAATATTGTAATAATCTACTCCGATATCCACAGCCTAGGTAAACAGGGTAACCCAATAGCTTTTAGCACATCTGCTCATCTTAGAAGTTGCAGAGGGCCTCTTCCTTCTCTCTCACGCTCTCTGTTCTGCATTAACCTCTTTTTGTCTCTCTTAACTAACATTTTTGATTTTGAGGATTATTTGTTCAGTTGAATTTCTGATTCCTGTTAAGTAGGTGAGTGGGACACCTTAAATTTTAACTAAGTTAAATTCTGTTTAAGAGAATTATGGGAGAAAAAGGACAAGTCACATAGAATGAGACAGCATGGATAGGTTACAATCTAAATAAAAGAAAGACAGATGGGTATCCATGAAATATTGGTCTTAATTGACACCTTTTTTTCCCTGGCAGCAGCCTGTGACAACTAGAACAAAGGTTCTTAATTCCTGATATATGCTGTATTTAGTCCAGAGAATTTATTTTAAAAAAATACTTTTTCATACTGTAGTCACTTGCTACATATTAGCAAGTTAAATTTTCTGAGTGAACCACACTTAGTTTCAATTGTGAGATCACTAGGTCATTGTTCCTACCTTTGGTACTCTGGCTTTAAAGTAACAGTATTAATAATATTAGAAATTTGGACATTTTATCCCCAAAGAACTTTATATTTCTCATAACTTACTTCTGATATAAGTATATATTACTATTTCATTGTGTTAATAAAAAAATAGGACTTGTGAGGCAGAGTGGCTTGTTAGTTATAATTTAGTAGTTTGGCCAAATCAAAATGAGGGGAACATAAAAGCCAACATACTGAATAAGATTCTATGTTATATGATGAGTAAACTATATCATACATATGAATTCACACTTTTCATGTGCATTAACTCTTTTAAACTATTATGGTACCTAACAGATTAAAAAACATAGTGAACTTACATTAAAAAAATTGGATCACAAAACCTTCACAAGTCCTCATATTTATACAACATAGAGATGATGCATCCTATTTTAGTAATAACCTTACTTATCTGGAACTCACCTATCCGGCCTCATCTGTCTGGAGCACAGACAAAAGCCAGCAGATAAGCAGCAAAGTAGCCAAAATAGATGTCATAAAATCCAAGCTTGAAGTTCTTTCACTAACCTTACTTATAGGAGAGGCCATGGAGACTTCACTCAGAGCTTACTAACTCTTATTTTGAAGTCTGATAATGAGTTTGATAAACTAGTTTCCAATTTCACTGTCAGACCAGAAGCAGCAAATTACACAGGAGGAGCGAGGCTACCGAAGGTACACTGACAGCATAGAAAACTTCTGACAGCCAGATATCAGGAAATTTTAGTTTAGAAAAACTAAAATATAGAAACAAGAACTTAAAAAAAAACCACATCCATCTAGGGCCATTTAGTATAGGGGAACAGACCTACACACTTCATTAGGCCCTGATGGCATCACTCTTACATCACAGTACATGATGCTCATAATGATGATGCTGAGTCATCTTCATGGAAAGATTAAATTATGTTCTGTATACTCTGTTTAAAAAGTCAAGGAAGCATAGAATACCTTAAAACCTTAAAGCAGGAAGCATTTAGAAAGATTTCAATTCAAAAATGGCTAACATTTTTTAAAAGTTGTGTTGCTTATGTAGATAAACATTCAGCCATCCATAAAACTCAGCTATTCAGAATGACTCATAAATAGGGACTGGACCTGTGATGTCTTTGATATAAGTAACTCCTAAAGAACTCCCTTTACCAATGTCACCTGCTCTGAGGATCAGTGTTCACAGTCACAGAGCAACGTATGTAACAGTGACAGATGGCTTAGAGGCCAGCTTTCTATCCACTAGTTCATGGCTACTCTAATAACTGAAACAGAGTATCTTCCTTCCAGCAACCCTGTGAAGTAGGTGCTACACATACTACTCCCCTTTGACAGATAAGGAAACTGATTCATACAGTTAATGTGTTGAATTTTGGACTGGGACTCAAATCCATGTCATCCAGTTTCGGGGTCAGTGCTTTATTCACAATATCGTGTTTCATGGGAGCTCTGAACAGATTTTTAAAAAAACAACTTAATATTAACTCCTTAAGGCACATATTGTTATACTGAAAGTGGTTATCTGATACAGTGGTGTCAAATTCAAATAGAAACGAATCTCTGCAGACCACATAGTGACTTAGAAAACCTTGAGTTCTTTTATTTTATTTTGTTTATTTTGTTGAACATTTCTTAATTACATTTAAACCTAGTTCAGCCATACATGAGCTCAGGAGTTTGGCTCCTCTGAATCTATTGGAGTCTAATAGATGTTGTTGTTTGACCTTCTTTCTCAAAGAGGACCAGTGGCATCACCAGGTGATTAACTTGTGCCTGGATTGTATTGAATTGAGGCAAAGTTTCACAAAGTCATCGGTATCACTCTCTCCTCCAGTCATCCAAAGTCAAGACATCTGACAGTAGTCCAGAATGCAGTGGATGACCTTGGCCTTTCTAAATTAAAGTCTTTTCCAGACCTCAGTCTGAGGCAATACCCATCCAATAGAAAAGGGAAGCAGGAAGACCTGGGTGGGCTTAAATCTTACCCTGGTCAAGTTACTAAATCTCTGTTCACCTTAGGCCACTCCCTAGTATCATACAGTCCTATATTTAGAGTTGGAAAGGTCTCAGAGAACATCTAATCTGAACTTTACCAATGAAGAACTTAGGGCCAAGAGAGATTAAACTTTCTGAGTTGGGAGGTCTTTCTGATTCTAAGTCTAGGACTCTACCTCCTAAGCCATGCTAAGTAGCTATGAGTTATATTTTAAATTTACCAAAAAAAATTATAGTTGCTGATGATATGATACTTTTTCGCCCAGTACTGAGCAGCTATGGTGGCTGAGGGAAAGTGTTTGAATTTACTTGTGGATATAATTAACATGGATCAATACATATACCTAACTTGACAATCATTTGTATTTTTAGACTTTATAACTTCGTCATTTGTTTTTTTTTAGGTTTGGGAAACATTGAAAATAATATAAAGGACATAATTTTATAAATTTAAATTATATACATGTGGTGCTTGTTCACATGTTCTTATCTGGAGTATAATGTGTAAAAATGTTTGGCAAATCAAAAAAAAATTAATACTTGGCTATTTTAAATGCATACAAGAAACAAACATATTCCTATACCAAACCTTCATGAATGGGGACTGAGGCACAAATTATGATTGATACAACTAAAGGTAAACTTTGTGTTTAGAATGTCATTTTAAACTTTAAGTGAAGTTATAGCATGAAAAAAATTGATCTAATAAAAATCAGACTAGAAGTTTAGAGAAAAAATTAAAATGTTTTTTATCTTCAAATGCTTATGACCCAAAGTTATCTGATGCCAAAAATGTTGAAGACTGGTAGATTTTCAGAATTTATGATGTTAAAAACCTATATGCAAAGATAGAATTTGAGATTGACATAATCAATTTATTGTCACGTTGTCATACCATGACTTTGAAAATAATTTCATCAGTACTTATTATTTATATAATGGAAATTACTGAATAAAATTTTTTAAATTTCATATTTTCTTTAATTTTAATAGCTATGGCGTGATTTACTGGAAAGAGTGGAATATATCCTAGTTTGACTAACTTTGCTCCAAAGTTTCTATGAGTTGCCAGATTTTTGCACTTCATTGTTGTATGCTTTCTAAAATTTGACCAACAATTTGCCGATTAATAAGCTTCCTTTTTTTAATCACCTCAGGAAGATAAAATAAAAAAATTTATGGATTACTATGAATTTCTTGAATTTTGTTTTTCCCTAAAATGTGGATATCAGTAGGTTCTAAAGAAGAATCCTCTTCTTTCTCCAGGGGTCCCTGGGATTTATGGATCCCAGAAGAGTATGTTGATAAATTTTAGGGAGTCCTTGAACTTGGATGGGGAAAGATTACTTTTTTATTTTCACTAACCTCTAATTGAAATTTAACATTTCCTTAATTATTTAAAAACATTATTCTGAAAAAGGGTTTATAGATTTCACCAGATTGTCAAAGAAGTCCATAACACAGAAAAAGTTTAAAACTCTTGCTTTAAAATGTAAATTAAAACAACTCTGAGGTACTACCTCACACCTGTCAGATTGGCTAATATGACAGAAAAGGAAGATGATAAATGTTGGAGAAGATGTGGGAAAATGCATTGTTGGTGGAGTTGTGAACTGATCCAACCATTCTGGAGAGCAATTTGGAACTATGCCCAAAGGGCAACCAAACTGTGCATACCCTTTGATATTCAATACCATTACTAAATCTGTATCCCACAGAGATCATAAAAAAGGGAAAGGGACCCAAAATATTCAAAAATATTTATAGCAGCTCTTTTTGTGGTGGCCAAGAATTGGAAATCAAAGGGAT